AAATAGTGTTGCTTGGGGTCTCCATAGACCTCTCAATGTGTCCAATATGTTCGATAGATGACTAGATGGGCTTAGAAAAGACTTAAAACCTTTAGTTCTTTTGTGAGCGGTAGCTATGTGTTGGTCCTTGTGGCTCTGCAAAAATACAGTTATATGTGAAAACAAACAACCTTCCTTTCTACATGTCATTTACTCAATTGTGCACTGGCTCCGTACATGGTCCATCCTTCATAAGCCTACCTCTCAGGAGATGGTTGTAGCGGCCTCTCAATTCTTGGCGTAGGTGGCCAAGGAGAATTTTACTCGGGCACATGGGTGACGGTCAGTCTACGGATTGAAAGTCATTAGTGTGCTTTGGTTTTATTTTTTATTTTCATTTTTTGCTTTGGGCTGTGTGCCTTTTAGGCATAGGCCGGGAGGATTTCAAGATGTTGTATCACCTTGACGTAATATTTTTGAAATTAATAAAGCTTCTCATTTCAAAATAAAAAGAATAGAAAGATAAAAGATCTAAACGGTTTAAGAAGATATTTCTTTTTGTTTTGAAGTTCAAGGCCTTGTTTAGATGAGGCCCAAATTGCAAGTTTTTGTAACATATTGAATTTGAAATCTAAATGGGCTGTGTGAAAAAAATTTGAGCTGGGGTGGAAAATTTTTCGGCCCAGCCTCGGGGCGCACACTGGACGCCCTATACCCCTGAACCCCGCGCCGCTCACCCCCCAACCCTATCCATTCGGCCGCTGTCTCCCCCAGCTCGGTCTCCCCGTGCCGCCGCTGTCTCCCTCCGCCGCCGCCGTTGTCTCCTCCCCCACCGTTCGTCCAGATGTGCCGTCCTTCACCACAATACACACCATCTCCCTCTCCCTTATCCTTTCACCAGCACCAGCTCCTCTCGCCTTCGAAACCCTAGCCGCAGCAGACGCCATATAGCACCACCGCCGCCGCTCTCTCCTACGCCAGATCCACGCCAGCCTGAGTGAGATCCACCCCATCGTCGGTGAGATCCGGCGTCCTTGTACCCGTCGTGCGCTATGGAGGGGTTCAACGGGGACGGCAACGACGGCCACCAGTTCAACGACGACGGCTACGCGTCCGGCTTAGGAGGCGGATTCAACTCCGGCTACGGCGTTGACGGCTTGAACTCCGGCTACGGCGACGCCGCCTTGAACTCCGGCTTCGGCGAAGGCGGCCACACCAGGGACTTCTTGTCCCAGCCACCGTCGTTCTCCGCCTCCGGTGCGCACACCTCCGCCGGCGCGCCGCCTCCTGGCTTCCCGTCTTCGAGCAACCCGACCCCTAGCCAGCTAAGGCTGGATTCACTCGACCTCAATGGCAGGCAGTCCGGGGTGGACATGCACGCCTACCAGGGAATCCTGCAGTCCGAGGGTCAAGACGGCGGCAGCGGCAGTTTTGCCCCCTGCTGTGCGTGTGCCTTCACTAAGCGGCAGGGGTTCACTGGGCCTTCGACCGCCTCGCGGGGCCTCTGGCAGCGGTGGTGCCAGTGCCGTCCCTCCTCGTCAACGTGGCTCCGCATCTGGCGGCGCTAGCGGCTCCAGGGGCCGCGGTGCTCCACGCTGCCGCCAGGAACCGACTGCCGACGATGACTTGCCTCCTCCTCAAGTCCCGGTACAGATCGATTCCCAGAACACGATTGTCAAATTGTCATGACTAGTTTTTGTACTTATCACATGCACTGCATATTACAAAATGTTACAACATACTTAGAAATACAACTTTGAATGCATATGTATGTTCTGGTTATCATGATAATTTCAGTATCAGTTCCCATATGGTTGCCTCTGGTTATTAAGGCAATTAGGTTATGCATTATTTCAGAGCCGGCTTGATAGGGCAAAGTGGAGTCCTTTGCACACTAAGGTCTTCTGTAAGCTGTACTGTGAGCAGATTGACCTCGGCTACTGCAATAGGGGTCAGATGAGCAAGTGGGGTTGGAAAAATATCACAGAGGAGTACTTCAAAGCGACAAAGTTGGTTCATGACAACGTAACCTTTGGCAGTAAGGTCCGAGAACTGAAGAGGGAATGGTCAGCCATACAGAAGCTGCAGCACAAGAGCACAGGATTGGGCCGTTCTGCTGATGGTTCTGTCGATGCTACCGATGAATGGTGGGAGGAGAACAGCGAGGTACACCTTATTCTTAGGTTTCCACAACTCCTAAGTTATCTTCGTACGCTTTCTGATAACCTCTTTGCTACATTCCAGGACAAGGAGTGCCAGAAGATGAAGGATGGGCTTCCTGAGTACCTCCCAGAAATGGACAAGATGTTCCAAGGCGTAGCAGTGACAGGGGAGAGCGCATATGTTCCTGGCAGACGTAATGGCCCACACTACATTAGCAGTGACGAAGACGAAGATGGTGACAACGGCACTCCACACAGCACTCCACAGAGCAGTGGCAGCAAGCGGAGCTTCAGCAGCATAAGCACTCACAGCACTGGTACCAGTCCTAGAAAGAAGTCCAAGAGCCCAGCACTTCGTCAAATGCAGAGCAACATGAGGCAGTTGAACATCATGATGGAGGACAAGGCTGCACGACAATCCCAAATCTGGGCCGACAGGCAGAAAAAAGAGGATGACAAGGAGGAAGCAAAGAAACCCAGGAGGAAGCAAGTGATACAGATGGCCAAAGATTTGGTGGCAACTACGGGAAATCGTCACTTGTGGGTTGGAGTCCTCAAATTAGCCCGTTCTGAATCTGACATGGACACCTTTGAGGACGCAGATGAAGAAGGAAGAATAGTCCTCCTTGACTACCTCGCTAGGGTCGGCAACTAGACCCTCTAATCAATGCATGAACCTATGTGTGTGTTTGTGTGTGTTAACCTGTGGCATGAACCATTTGTTGTTGTGAACTTTATTGTGTTGTTTCTCGGTTCATGAATGTTTAAGTGATGTGGTACAATGGATGTGTGCTGTGTGAATGTGAGAGTTTGTTACATGTGCTAAGGTTAGGGTGCATCATTATGTTTGGTTATTGGAATATGTACTGACAACACTTCATTTGTACCAGGAACCTCAACAACTTGGTGCAGCGCTGGATGATGATGATGATAGGAAGCAGCAGTGGGAGGAGGATTTTTTTGCCATGTTGGTAGAAGATGATGACGACGAAATTGCATTGATATATGGTATGTATTCTGAGTATGCCATGCACCTTGACAAGTACTACAATAGGGCAGACTATAGGGTGCCAAAGATGAGTGGGTTGGAATGGGTAGAGCGGAAGCTATGCAATGAAACATCCTGCTACAACATGTTTAGAATGACCCCAGATATGTTCTATAGTTTGCATAATCTGTTAAAAACTGAGTATGGCCTGAGAGACACAAAGAAGTCCACCTCTATTGAGGCTTTAGGGATGTTCCTCTGGATTCTAGGTGCTCCACAGTCAGTTAGGCAAGCCGAGGACAGATTTGAGAGATCACTAGGCACCGTCCACTCGATGTTCTATAGAGTGCTCAAGTGTGTGATCAAGTATGCGGACGATATCATTAAACCTAGGGACCCAGAATTTAGAACAAGGCATCGAAGGGTGATGAACCATCGGTTCTATCCTAAATTCGAGGACTGCATAGGAGCTATAGATGGCAGTCACATGCCTTGTGTAGTGCCTGTCGATAAGTTTGTACAGCACTTGTGTCGCAAGGGCCTGACAACACAGAATGTCATGGTTGTTTGTGACTTTGATATGATTTTTACATTTGTCCTTACGGGATGGCCTGGCTCTGCTCATGACATGAGAGTGTTCGATGATGCCATGACTACATGGAAGGATGACTTTCCTCACCCACCCAAGGTAGCCACCTAACTAGTAGTACATTTGACATTTCTAATTGAAGTATTTAACACTTACAGTGCGTCTGTTGTAGGGAAGTTCTATGTCGTGGACTCCGCATGCATAAACCGCCTAGGATACACGGCTCCGCATAAGGGAACCATGTACCATATTCAAGACTTCCAAACGTCGCAGAACCACGAGGTAAAAAGAGATATTCAATTATGCCCATTCATCTCTTAGAAATGTCATTGAAAGGGCATTTGGAGTTTTGAAAATGAAATGGCGCATATTGTTGCAAATCCTTTGCTATCCTGCTAGAACGCAAACAAAGATTATAGTTGCTTGTATGGCTTTGCATAACTTCATAAGATTGAGTGGCCTCAACGATGTTGACTTTGGGTGGTAGATGAAAATGTTTCCTATGTGCCGCCAGAGGCCTCTCGTTTGATCGACTGAAATCTTGTTGATGCCCCCGACAATCAAGATCGTGCAGATGAATGAGTTTCGTGATTATATTGCGGGCCTTTGTACAATAGGTTGTGAGGACTTGTATTTCATTTGTAATTCTTCTGCGAACTTGTAATGTTGCTTGTGGAGGACTTGTATTTTAGCTTTATTTGCTGGGAAGTTGTAATAATGTTGCTTGTGGACTGTAATAATCTGTGGGTCTGTTAGTGCTTGCAAATTGTTTTGTGTGTGTGTCATATGCATGCAACGTATAGGATGCAGTAGCAAATGTAAAGGATGCAGTACCATGCATGGGACATGCAAATCTTTGAATAAATAGGGGCAGTTTTGTCTTTGACCAAGCTTATTTATTACAATGCAAAGAGTTGGAATTCCGAGTTAGGATGAAAACTTTCTAACCGCCGGTGGTTAGAAAAATTTGGGTTAGAAAAACTTGCAATCTAAACAAGGCCCAAAGAAGAAATCTAAAGTCTGATGATAGTCAGAGATAAAAAAAAATGACTTTTTTTTTATGAAACAGCAACTGACTTACTGACATGTGCAGTGACGATTTCAAAAAAAAAGACATGTGCAGTGACGTCATGACATCCAGTCCACTGCTCCGCTGCCGCCGGCATAGACGGCCTCCCACTCTTTATAGCTACGGCAGGGCAGTGGGCGATAGCACCAGGCACCATCAAGGCACCAACTACCCGAGAGCATCGACGTCGACGAGCATCTTCCAGCACCTGCCATGGCTGCCGCTTCCGTGTCCGTCCCCCGCATCAAGCTGGGCTCGCAGGGGCTAGAGGTCTCCGCGCAGGGCCTCGGCTGCATGGGCATGTCCGCCTTCTACGGTCCGCCCAAGCCCGAGCCTGACATGATCAAGCTCATCCACCACGCCGTCGCCTCCGGGGTCACCCTCCTCGACACCTCCGACATGTACGGCCCTCACACCAACGAGATCCTGCTGGGCAAGGTCGGTCCGCTCGAGCTTTAGATCCTTGTTGAGTTGTTGTAGATTTATTGGCCTTTTTTCAGTCTGTACTGAAGATGTTCGATGTAATGCCTCTGAATTCTGAGAAGGCGCTTCAAGGCGGGGTAAGGGAGAAGGTTGAGCTGGCCACCAAGTTTGCCGTCTCCTTCGCCGACGGCAAGACGGAGGTCCGCGGTGACCCAGCATACGTGCGGGCGGCGTGCGAGGGCAGCCTCAAGCGGCTCGGCGTCGACTGCATCGACCTCTACTACCAGCACCGCATCGACAAGAAGGTGCCGATCGAGGTCACGGTGAGTGCAGTGCACCTTCCCCACTTGATTCCTTTGTTTGGTAGCTGTGGCCTGTCACCAGTGGATGGTCGATGTGAACATACAAGTGGAGGCTGGAAATGCTGGCCGGGGAATATTCTTGCATTACAGTTAGTGAGTGGTTGGTGGAGACAGGTTTGTTGGAGGTTGGTGTCTACAACGTATGAGTGGTTATACTAACATAAGGGCCCTTGTGTACATTTGGCAAGACAGCGTACTGGCATATGATGCATGGTTTCTCTTACATAATCTCATTCACTCCTTAATTTAACCTAGAAACAAATTGCAGGAACTTGTAGGAGGTTTCTGAGGTGCAATTGCATATTGCATATACCAGCAACTGGATCAATCATATCAGTTGCTGTACCCATGTCCTGGCAAACACTAGTTGCTGTCATTTTTGGCCCATTCTGCCATTCATATTTATATTACTGTCAGTTCAGTAGTTCACATATGATGTCTTGTTTATAGTTTTCCTTTCTCTCACAACCCACACTGCATCTTGTAAGCCATGAACTATTTCCTTTTAGATAATTGAGCTTGCCTTCTTTTTCTGTTCCTAGATTGGTGAACTCAAGAAGCTAGTGGAAGAAGGAAAGATAAAGTACATTGGGTTATCCGAAGCATCTGCATCAACAATCCGAAGAGCTCATGCAGTCCATCCTATCACTGCAGTACAGCTTGAATGGTCATTATGGTCTAGAGATGTGGAAGAAGATATAATTCCCACTTGCAGGTACTTTCATGAACAGTCAAACACTGGAGTTGTGCAGTCAATAAGTAGGAAGCTTATTTCTGAATTATCACCTTTCTGTGACTATTTCAGAGAACTTGGAATTGGAATTGTAGCTTACAGTCCACTAGGCAGAGGGTTTTTGTGTAGTGGAGCAAAACTAGTTGACTCACTGTCAGAGCAGGACTTCCGCAAGGTGAACTCAAACTATTACCCATATATGCATAATACATGGTTCAGCTATCCTTAATTTTAAACATTTCCTTGATCTTAGATACATTTTTGGGTTCTGCTCATGTATTTGATATATACAAGGGTCCCATCCACAATGCTTGAAGAAAAAGAATTAGAAATAATTGTCTATTGCCTCTTTGTAACAAGGATTTCAAACTTCTGCAGCATTTGCCTAGATTTCAACCGGGGAATATTGACAAGAATGCTAAGATATTCGAGGATGTGAACGCAATGGCAGCTAAAAAAGGATGCACACCATCACAACTGGCATTGGCTTGGGTTCACCATCAGGGAAACGATGTTTGCCCCATACCTGGCACAACAAAAATCGAGAACTTCAACCAGAACATGGGGGCACTGTCTGTGAAGTTGACACCAGATGAGATGGCCGAACTCGAGTCGTATGCTGCTGCAGGTGAAGTCTTGGGTGACCGTTATGCTGAAATTACCAACACCTGGAAGGACTCTGAGACCCCGCCATTGTCTTCTTGAAAATCTGAGTAGCCAATCTGGTATCTTCAACTCTATTACCGTCACATTGCTGTATCTCCAAACTGTCGGACTGCAGAAGATGCTCAGGTGCACTTTGCAAAAGCATCCATATGATGCTTGCCTTATTGCGAGCTATGATGTTTAGTACTTAGTGTGCATTGCATGCCTCGTTTTGTATCAAGAGTATTTACCATAAGTAGCTTGAAGGTTAAAACCACTGGTTCGATGAATAACCATGTATATTTGTATCAAGAGTATATACCATGAGTAGAAAGTGAATTTTGTAATAATAGTCAAAAGTGTGATTGTAAAATGTTACTAGCGAGTGTGGTACACTACGCTAGCGTGCAAACATATTTATAGGCAGGTATACACCCATCGGCGCATGAGCTCCTTTCGGTTCTGTTTCTTTCCAATGGTATCTTGCAGTTGTTTGCCCAGTCGGCCTTGCATTTTGGTTCTTTACCATGCTTCATTCAATGCTTCTGGGTTGGTAATTAGGGCTCAGAAAATCATTGCTCACCTTACATTTACCTAAAAAATTGTCACATGCTTTCCTTCATTATTCTTTTATACTATGTAAATACTTTCGGTTTCAATGCATAAAAGAAAAGGATGCTGCAACTTGCTTGCCCAGTTCATGCAGAACGTGTGTGTGTGCATACAGATGAAGGCCCTTATTATCCATGTGGAGGGTAAACATTGTTTTGTGTGTCGGTTCCTTGTATTCATGAATTGATGTGCCGGTTTGAACCTGAAGAAATGAACCAGGGTATGTAACAGCCATGATCTTCATCTGCCTGTATGCAAATTCCTTCCCCAAGCAAATCATTGAATGCTAGCCGACGTCTTTCCTATTGTGGGTGTGACTTGTTGGAACTCGATGTTAGCTGCAGCCTGCAGCTGCAGTACTCATTTTCAGGTGCTTACCTCAATTTTAATTAAAAATATTGAAATCAACTTGAAAATCATTTTTAACCGGGACAAAAGATAATAATTTTAAATGATTTTAAGAATTAAAAATACAGTTTTTTTAGTTCAAAGAAGAAATCTTAAGTCTGATGATAGTCTAGGATTAAAAAAAAAGACTTTCCTATCTAAAATTGCAACCGACAACTCTTACTACATATTTGGTGCAGTGCTGGAGCAAGAAAGCTCCAGGAACTCTTGGTTAGGGAGCCAGCCTTAGGGGTATAAGGCAGCCTGTTTTGTCTGGTCGGCATCGATATATTTTGTGTGGCATGCCTGTTTTAGTTAAGTGGGTGTGTGTTTGTGGTGATTTTGTATTCGGGTAGGGTCTAACTAGACTCGTGTATTTTATTTCTACCGTCTAATTCCCATGCGTGCAGGGGCGTGCACTAGACTAAGAGCAATATCACAAGAGAATCTCCCAAGCACGGAGAACATGATTGTTGAATTTGCTTCAAACGACATGTTTGGAGACATGGACTAGTTTCTAGAATTCATACATTACCATGTTTGCATACATGGCTCAGTATCTAGATACACTAAGAACATGTAATAAGTGTCCATAATAATTGTAACAACGTTGTAACAGTATATATTTTATCAGATTTGTATTTATATTGTATTTTTATAATATTTGTATTTGTATCAAACATATTTGATATTTAATAAAATTGTATAATATATATATATGAAAAGAATTTCTTATTTATATTCTTTGTTCTATATATATAGTTATCAACGGGAATAATCTAATGGAGGAAGAATTGTGCCTAGTGGATAGTTGCACCACAAATTCAATACTTAGCGAAACAAAATATTTTCTAACTCTTACTAAGAGCAATGGAAATGTTTTAACAATCGCTGGACGCGATGCAATAATAGTAGGCACAGGTCGTGCTGCTATCATTCTCCCTATGGGTACACATATTATAATCGAAGATGCGTTACTGTATTCCGATTCAACTCGTACCTTACTAAGTTATAGAGATATCCGGAATAATGGGTTTCATGTTGAGACATATGAAGATAACAAAGAAGAATATCTCCTAACAAATTTTTTTGGATATGGCAAACAAATTATTGAAAGAATTCCATCTTTCTCATCTGGATTGTACTACACTTACATCAAACCCGTTACGCATGTTGCGTACAAAATAATTTCCCAGAATGCTGACACATTTCAAACTTGGCATGATCACTTAGGATATCCTGGTATAGGGATGATGCGAAAAATTATCAAAAATGCAATTGGTCATAATTTAAATGAGGCAAAATTCCCATAATCTTCGAATTTTGTATGCACAGCATGTGCAACGGGGAAACTAATCTTAAGACCCTCTTATCTTAAGGTTAAAGCTGAGCCACTCAAATTCCTTGAACGCATTCAGGGAGATATATGTGGTCCTATACAACCATTATCTGGACCATTCATGTATTTTATGGTTTTAATAGATGCATCTACATGATGGTCTCATATGTCTCTTATCGGCACGAAACCATGCTTTTGCTAAAATAATTGCTCAAATTATTAAGCTAAAAACGCAATATCCTGAACATCGGATTCAATCTATTCGAATGGATAATGCTGTTGAATTCACTTCACGTGCTTTTAATGATTACTGTATAGCACTTGGTATTCAAGTTCAAAACTCGGTCCCGTATGTCCATACTCAAAATGGTTTAGCAGAATCACTTATAAAAGGGTAAAGCTTATTGCTAGACCATTATTAATGAATTGCAAATTACCAACCTCATGTTGGGGTCATGTAGTTTTATATGCTGCAGACTTAATACAATTGCGTCCAACTGCTTATCATACTAATTCCCCCTTACAATTAGCACGTGGAAATCCGCTAAGTATTTCTAATCTGCGAAAATTCGGTTGCGCTATGTACGTACTGATTTCACAACCATAGCGTACATCCATGGGCCCTCACAGAAAATTGAGGATCTACGCGGGATATCAATCTTCGTCGATTATCAAATATCTCGAACCCCTTATAGGGGACTTATTCACAGCCCGGTATGCTGATTGTATATTCAATGAGGACCATTTCCCGGTATTAGGGGGAGATTCGAAGTACCAAAATGAATGCCAGAAAATCAATTGGAATGTCTAAGGCATTCCCGCCTCTGATCCACGTACTTTAGAAACTGAATTTCAAGTTCAAAAAATTATAGATTTGCAACATATTGCAAATAACCTGCCAGATGCATTTACTGATATTAAAGGTGTCACAAAATCACTAAGTCCTGCACGTAATGTTCCAGCGCGAGTGGAGATATCTAAAAATATCACTTCAATCCCAATTCAAAATAAGAGGGGAAGCTTGTGAACACAAGCCAGGATAAAGCTTCTAATAAGCAACCGCGGAAACGGAAGAATAAACCTTCTCAAATAGTAGATGCAAATCAACCTCATTTTGATAGACACCAAATTGTTAATCAAAACAATGTGGATGGGCAACATCTACAACCTAGTTCAGTGGTGCACCTAAATACTGATACTAAGATGTCGGAATATCCAGACTCTATTGTGATGGGAAACCACGAAGAGTCAATAGGAATACGAGATATTTCAATAAACTATAGTGAAACTGAAGTATCATATGATAGTCGACACATTTTTCTCCGAAAAAATTGCATATGAACTTCACAATGATCCAGATCTAAAGGCCTTGGCAGAATGTTGCAAACGCCCGGACTGGACCCAATGGAAGAATGCAGTTCAATCAGAGTTAGACTCGCTAACCAAAAGGAAGGTATTCACGTCAGCAATACCAACTCCAGTTAGTATCTTTCCTGTGGGATACAAATGGGTTTTCGTTCGCAAACGGAATGAAAATAATGAAATGGTGAGATATAAAGCGAGATTAGTAGCACAAGGGTTTACGAGAGACCCGGTATTGATTTTAATGAAACATATTCTCCAGTTATTAGTGGAATCACCTTCTGATTTTTAATATCCACGGCAGTGCAAAATCATCTATCCGTGCAGTTGATGGATGTAGTAACAACCTACTTATATGGGTCACTGGATTCTGACATATACATGAAGGTTCCTGATGGAATCCCAATACCGAATCATAACGCAAACCACAACATGTATTGTGTAAAGCTTCAAAAGTCATTTTATGGCTTAAAGCAATCAGATCGAATGTGGTACAATCGACTAAGTGAATTTCTTCTTCAGAAGGGATACACAACCAATGATGATTCACCATGTGTATTTATTAAGAAATCACAAACTGGGTTTTGCATAATTTCTGTATATGTCGATGACCAAAACATCACAGGTCATGTGCAAGACATAAATGAAGCACGTAATCATCTAATGGCGGAATTCGAGATGAAAGATTTGGGTCAAACCAAATTTTGTTTGGGTTTACAACTCGAACATATTCCTCCAGGAATATTGGTTTATCAAGCCGCTTACATCCAGAAAAATTTAGAGATATTCAATATGGATAAAGCACATCTAACAAAAACTCCTATGGTTGT